GTATCAGCAGCTCGCAACGCTGCGAAGAAGATGATGTGCAGCGGGCAGCTTCAACGACATGTATGTATGGCGGTTCTCTCCAAGGCGAAAGCCCTGGCGACACAACGGCGGTTACTCTTAACAGCCCCCGTGACAGCCGTCTTCGCCGCAATTTGCATCTGCAGACCGAGACACTCTGGACCTCTGACACGCTGCTGAGTGCTCTTCCCTCCCCCGCCCGCCGCGTGCTCCCGCGGGGCCACGACCCCGAAGGCCTCGGGCTGCCCTACAGAGAGGCGCTCATAGACCCCTTCCTCGAGGCGACGGTGAGGCACGAGGAGCTGCAGGGATCCGCTGCCGGGGCAAGCCGAACGGCAACACCTTCGCGAGGACAAGAGGAGGCATCGGCTGCAGGGGCAGCAGATGGGGATCCAGAAGATGATCTCTGCATCCTTATGTACGAGGCACTTGGCCGCCTTATGGCGATGTGTTTCTGCATCGGCAGTGCGTTCAACGTTACCCTCAACCCCATCGTGTGGAAGAAGCTTGTCGCAGCGCCCATCAGCATCGAGGTGAGGCTCCCTCGTCTTTGACACAGTTTCAGGCCGCCGCAGGCGGTGTATATACAGTGATGCAAAGAGAGAGAAAAAAATATTATGCTAGGGTGATGTTGATACTCGGAGTTTGCCGTGCGGTGGGGGCCGAGGCAGCTAGCTGCAAGAGTGTTTCAAGAGGTGTTGTGAGCGCTTGTATGTTTTTCTGCATCTGCAGGACGTTGCAGACTCGGATTGCGTGGCGGTAGAGATGCTGCGTTCGCTGCGGCGTCTGGCTGCAGTGCCGCAACAGTTTTGGGATGCAACCATGGAGGCCTCTTTGTCAGATATGACATTCAGCGCGGAGGATACTCTCGGGCGATCGTGCGAATTGGTGGAGGGGGGGGCAGAGATCCCCGTCACTGCGTTCAACTTATCTACTTTCATTCGTCTCTCTGAACGATTTCGCCTCCTTGAGGGACAAGAAGGCATCGAAGCTGTACTCCGAGGCATCGCTGCCGTCTTGCCTTTGGGCCGTTTGCGGCTTTTATTTGACTGGAGGTGAGCAGCTGAGACAGCAACTTCAGGTGTGATGTTTTAAACTCCAAACCCTCAACTCTGACTTTCTGTTGGCTTTCCACGCGGTTGATGCAGCTTTCCCGTGGTTTCGTGTTATATGTGCGAGGTGGAGGAAGTCCATGT